ATTTATAGATGCACAATATGTCTTTATTAGAACCCCTTCCTTGCTAACTGGAGAAAATTAAAAAAAAAAAAAAAAAGAAAGAAATCTGTGATACATCATGAACCAAAAGAAGAACAGAGAACTCTGCACCTGCTTCAGATGAATTCAAGTCCAAACAAATATTCTTTATTTTCCCACAAAAATAATCAAAGAAGGCCATGGACAGCTGAAAGCGGATTCATAAGCATACAAAGCAGATTCAGTTACATGATCAAGCAGGTAATTTAGACTGGTGAACAGGAGCCCCTGATTTCCACTGCAAGATTAAATTTTCCCTGTATTATTCCACCTTACAAGCTGATACCCTATTCACAACTGTACTATGGGTTTCCACATAATGGACTATGAATCTTTGCAATTGGTCAACATGCAGTGAAGATGAATCCACACTGTTCACTGTATCTCTCACCATCACACCAACCTGGTTAACATCAAGATTTCTATAATTATGGAAAGACAGTATACACTCACAGGAAGGTGGCACCAAAAATATCAACACTAAGATTGTACACAATAATATTAAGAGGTATATTCCCAACATCTTTAACCCTTTCAGGGTTTCGGCCGTATTAGTAGGGCTTACGCACCAGTGTCCATGACGTACTGGTATGCCTAAATTCTAGCGCCCTCAAATCTAGTGAGAGAAAGCTGGTAGGCCTACATATGAAAGAATGGGTCTATGTGGTCAGTGTGCGCAGTATAAAAAAAATCCTGCAGCACACAGTGCGTAATGAGAAAAAAACTTGACCATGATTTTGGATTAAAACAGCAACTTTGCACTGTATTTTCGTATGGTATTTATTGTTGTATTCTAGTTTTCCTGGTCTCATTTTATAGAATGGAAGACATATTACAGAAACTGAGATGATTTTGACTGGTTTTGCAATGAAAAGTACCTTGAAATTGAGCTCAAAGTAGCAGAAATGTTCGATTTTTACCAAAGTTCAAAAGTAAACAAATCATGCTATGCATCCAATACACATCAACTGGTGAGTCTAATATTCTTTCACAAGTGTGCTGATATTATTTATACCATTTCTGCACTAATGCAGTAGTCTGCATAACAGTAAATCTTCTATTTTTTTGTGAGAATAAAAATTCAAAGTGAAAAGCAAAAGAATGTAAGAGGGGCATGGGGACGTGACTAATGAACAGAGGAAATGTTATTTTAGTGCCAGGAATGTCTTTCTTGTTTATTCTGGACCCTATTTGGAAATTGGCATCTTTTGAAATTTGTGAGAGATTGGCAAAATTGCTAAATTCTGACTACTGTATTGGATAGTTGAAATCGGTAAATGGGTGGTTTCTTGTGCTCATTCGATAGAAAAAATGGAGTTCAAGTGAAATAGTTATGATTTTTGTTGACTAGTACACTGGAATTGGCTGAAAATAGGGCTCAAAGTGGGCAAAATCGCCGATGCGTAAACATCATCGAGACCGCTAACTTCGTAAGAGCGTAATTCCGTAAGTTTTCCATCAAATTTCATACTTTTGGTGTCATTATGACTGGGAAAAGATTCTCTATCTTTTCATAAGAAAAATAATTTTTTTTTTTTATATTTGGGGGACCCTGAGAACAAGTCTCGGAGAGGGCCTGTGGACCCTGAAAGGGTTAATGCTTTGAGAATTGGAAGTAGACAGAACCAAGTGCAATATATGATCACCAATGTGGGTGGGTGGGTGTTAATGAACTATTCTCAAAATTATTCAAATCTATTAGCTCCAGGAACTCGCATGAATACGGTTTCTGTTGTTGACAACCACTCAAATAGTAAAAGCCACCACATACAAGGCAACCATACCTCTTTGCGAAGGATTCAATAAGAAAACTAAACTCATCAAAAAACAAGGAATCTGTGTCTTCGGTGCCAGGATGATATACAACCATGATTCTCATAGTCTGTCAATGGCAATTTGCTACTTCCATTACCTCAAATTATGTAACAGGCTAACCAAGTGATATATGATGAACATTTGCCATTCATACTATGCACCTTAACATATAACAGTGGCAAGCAATCATGCATAATTCCAAGTACAAGTAGTGCCTTTCAAGAACAAACGAAAGTTCTCCAATGACAGGGTTGATATAAACTTCACCTAAACTTCTGTGAGCACCCTCTCCAAGATGCCTAAGAATAGTATTCTGGGATATTTATACAGTGGCACCCCGAGTTACAAACTTAATTTGTTCCAGGAGGCTGTTCAAGTGCCATTACAGAATGAATTTGTTCCCATAAGGAATAATGTAAATTAGATTAGTCTGTTTTAGACCCCCCAAAAATACACTTACAAAAGCACTTACAAAAATACACTTACATAACTGTTCGAGCTGGGAGCTGTTCCAAACTAAAGGTATCACTGTATTACGGCTGTACTATGTTGTGATTATTGACCAGTTCCTGACAGAGTGGCACTTTTATTACATGTATTCATATTGTGGAGACAAAAAACGTTATCTATGGAGGCAAAGAAAGTATAGTAGTACGAACACACTTATATGGGTGTGAAGCTTGGGTTGTGAATGCAGCAGCGAGGAGGCGGTTGGAGGCAGTGGAGATGTCCTGTCTAAGGGCAATGTGTGGTGTAAATATTATGCAGAAAATTTGGAGTGTGGAAATTAGGAGAAGGTGTGGACTTAATAAAAGTACAGTGGACCCCCGCATAACGATCACCTCCGAATGCGACCAATTATGTAAGTGTATTTATGTAAGTGCGTTTGTACGTGTATGTTTGGGGTTCTGAAATGGACTAATCTACTTCACAATATTCCTTATGGGAACAAATTCGGTCAGTACTGGCACCTGAACATACTTCTGGAGTGAAAAAATATTGTTAACTGGGGGTCCACTGTATTAGTCAGAGGGCTGAAGTGGTTTGGTCATTTAGAGAGAATGGATCAAAGTAGAATGACATGGAGAGTGTATAAATCTGTAAGGGAAGGAAGGCGGGGTAGGAGTCATCCTCGAAAAGGTTGGAAGGAAGGGGTAAAGGAGGTTTTGTGGGCGAGGGGCTTGGACTTCCAGCAGGCGTGCATGAGCATGTTCGATAGGAGTGAATGGAGACAAATGGTATTTGGGACCTGACGATCTGTTGGAGTGTGAGCAGGGTAATATTTAGTGAAGGGATTCAGGGAAACCAGTTATTTTTATATAGCCACACTTGAGTCCTGGAAATGGGAAGTACAATGACTGCACTCTAAAGGAGGGGTTCGGGATATTGGTAATTTGGTGGGATATGTTGTGTATCTATACACGTATATGCTTCTATACACAAATAACCCGCACATAAAAGAGAGAAGCTTACGACGACGTTTCGGTCCGACTTGGACCATTGACAAAGTCACATTAACCAGAGGGGGAGCAGGACGGCTATATATAGACAGGAAGAGGTGGTGGTGGTAGTAGTAGTAGTAGTACAGGAATTGTATATAATACTGACAAGATGAAATTAAGACACATGCACAACACCCGGGCATCCCCATCGTAGACGCTTCGCCATCCAGCCAGCCACTGGATGGCGAAACGTCCACAACAAAGACAACCAGATGCCGCACATGTGTCTTAATTTCATCAGTAGTTGTAGTAGTAGTAGTAGAAGAAGAAGAGGTAGTAGTAGTGGTAGTGGTAGAAGTGGGAAATAAGGAAGACGAGCCAGTCAAATACAAAGGAAGGAGAGCACTGCAAGAGAGCTAGATGCCCACAGAGGGAGAGCAAGCGCACAGAGGTGCGTGAAAGGGGAAGTGGTGAAATAAATGAAGAAGGAACAGAAACACGAGACAGGAGAGAGAAAGACAACAGAGGAGAAAAGGAAAGAGGAAAGGGGAAGAGGAAGAAGAAAAAAGAAAAAAGAAAAAAAAAAAAAGAAAAAAAAGAAAAAAAAAATGAGGATTCAGGTTAAGTCACGGGTGTTCTGAAGTTTGGAGCATTTTACAATGTAGTGGGAGAGGAAGGCATCTACAGAGACGAAGCCAGGGCTAAGGTTCATACAAGGAAAGTTGTGTATTAGAGAGGATTCAACTAGACGGCGACTGTTCGAGTTGGAAGTAGGGAAGACAGTTTTAGCAGAAGACCAGTCAATAGGATGGCTATGATCTTGTCGGTATTATATACAATTCCTGTACTACTACTACTACTACTACCACCACCTCTTCCTGTCTATATATAGCCATCCTGCTCCCCCTCTGGTTAGTGTGACTTTGTCAATGGTCCAAGTCGGACCGAAACGTCGTCGTAAGCTTCTCTCTTTTATGTGCGGGTTATTTGTGTATTGTTCCAGTCACGGTATTGTGCCTTTTTTTGTTATATATGCTTCTAAGCTGTTGTGTTCTGGGCACCTCTGCAAAAACAGTGATTATGTGTGAGTGAGGTGAAAGTGTTGAATGATGATTAAAGTATTTTCTTTCTTTTTGGGTCACCCTGCCTCGGTGGGAGATGGCCGACTTGTTAAAAAAAAAAAAAATCATATTGTTACTGTACTGCATTCATGGGAAGAAATTATTATTACATTCATGGGAACAATCAGATTCGAACCAAGGAAAGTAAAGGAAGGGTAGCTTCATGCTGATCAGATGGCCTAAGGGTAAATGTGTGTTTATAGCCACGGTAATGTTGGTTAGATGCACTGAGGGAAGCCTGTATTAAGATGCCATCATGCTGAGTCAGACACTGAGGGCAAATGTGAACCATACCATGTTTAAATTGTGCAATGGTTTCCAAAGTACATAGCTGTTAAAGAAAACTTTCATTGTTTAACTCTATCCAATATGAATTTACCAACTTAACTAACAAATGTTAGTTAAGCTATTTTTATATTAAACAGAAACTAGGAAAAAATTTAAGAGTTTTTTAACTGTGCTAACAAATATATGGAAATTAACTTTAAGCTATTCTACTATAAAATTCATACTAATCACCATATAATTTAAGCTTTAGATTAGTGTATTATTATGACTATCTTACCTTAAATGTATCACTGAGATGATATGAATGAACCTGAAGAACAGTAGTAGCATATATACTGCACTCACTCTTCTCAGCACTGACAAGTTGTGCAAGTGCTCGGGTGCTGAGTCTAGCCCCAGCATGGTAGATTGTCAGGGCTGCATCATTGTTACCAGTCGGTCTGTCCTCGTGATGGTAACGATTCTCCCAATAAGTTTCTAGGCCTGGAGTTGCTGTCATTACATTTTTACAGATGTTAGAAAATATTGAAAATAGTAATAATTATGTTTAGCAACACACATTACTATCTATAGTATACAGTATTATACGTATATAATAAATACTAGGGAACAGAAGAACAACAGTGAATTTTAGTACACCATACACTACAAGAGATAGTGTACACAAAGGTAAACAATAAGGTTCACAGTATATACATACATCGAAATCTCTTTAAAGATGGGGAAATGCTAAATCCAAAAATGCCATACAGTACTTGGAGAATGGTAAAAGTTCAGGTTTGATCCAAGGATGAGGAGAGTAGTTCCAATTCCTTGTATTAAGAGCCCTTAACCAGCATAAAGTTCCACCCCCTTCCCCATCATGAAGGGTCAAGATACAGAAGCAGCAACATTACAAACCTCAAACTTTAATCCAAGAAATTGGACCAAACTTTCTTTTCCTAAAGATTGAACCTGAATGCCTCCCATTCCCCCCAGGTGCTGTATAACTCCTATGAGTTTAGTACTTTCCCTATGAATGTAATGATCATCAGTAACAATGATGTGATACCAGAGATTTTACAAGAGACTGAACTTAATAATCTTCAGTGGGATGCAGCCAGTTTGTTGAAAGAAGAAACTTAGTAATCATAAAAATAATAAAAAAGGGAATGTATGAGAGTATAGTGGTACCAACACTCTTATATGGGTGTGAGGCATGGGTTGTGAATGCTGCAGCAAGACAGGCTGGAGGCAGTGGAAATGTCATGTCTCAGGGCAATGAGTGGTGTAAATATTATGCAGAGAATTCATAGTGTGGAAATTAGGAGGAGGTGTGGAGTTGCTAAAAGTATTATTCAGAGGGATGAAGAAGGGTTATTGAAGTGGTCTGGTCATTTAGAGAGGATGAAACAAAATAGGTTGACTTGGAGGATGTATAAATCTGTACTGGAAGGGAGAGGGGTAGAGGTCATCCTAGGAAAGGATGGAGGGGGAGGGGGTAAAAGAGTTGTGAATGCAAGGGCTTGGCACACAACAGGCATGTGAGAGGTTGGTTAGATAGGAGTGAATGGAGAGGAGTGATTTTTGGGACTTGACAAGCTGTTGAAGTGTGAGCAGAGTAATATTTTGAGAAAGGGATTCGGGAAACCAGTTAGCTGGACTTGAATCCTGGAGATGGGAATACAAGCCTGCACTCTAAAGGAGAGGTTTGGGATATTGGCTGTTTGGAGTGACATCTAACTGTCATATCTGGGCACCTCAGCAAAGACAGTGATATTGTGTGAATGATTGTGAAGTGTTCTTTCTTTTTTGGGTCTCCTGCCTCAGTAGGAGATGGCCGTCATGTTAAAAAAAATAATAATATAGTAGTGATAATATAATTCTAACAATAAATCTTCTTTTCCCAAAAAGTAAAAAATTTATTGTGTTTTAAACCCAGACACCTGGCAATCTTTCTCTACTAGTGCTTTATATAGAGGGTTTACAGTAGTGTGTAATATATGATACTAAACTTTTATGGATTTTAAGGTTTTAAAGCACATAAATATTTCTCCCAACTGTTTGTATATAGGCAGTACATATAATTAGGCAGGGTGTATGTTACAAAATTTTGGAAAATATTTAAAAAGGTTGAGTGTCGTAAGAGGCGACTAAAATGCCAGGAGCAAGGGGCTAGTAACCCCTTCTCCTGTATACATTACTGAAGTTATGAAGAGAAACTTTTGTTTTTTTTTTTGGGCTGCCTTGCTTGGGGGGATATGGTCAGTTTGTTGAAAGAAGAAGATTTAAAAAGGTGTCTATTGAACAAGATTGTCACTTGAAACTTTCTGGTTTACCCAAGACAGGTGAAAAGGCGGGAAAAAGGGGTGCTATTCCTGGCCACCAACAAGCAGATAAAAAAAGCCCATCATGTTGCTACCCAAATTTCACACATTACGGATTTTTTTTAATGATTTATGTAGCATAATATCAAAGTTCTCTGTGTAACCCAAATTTTTTTTGGTTGCACCCACTGAACTGAGTTGCAAGAAAACGGGGTTTAATTTAAAGATGAGTTGTTAATGATTTACTGTATACGTACAGTACACGCAAGTTAAAACAATTTCATTATTTTTAAAATTTCTTACTGCAAACATGTGGCAACTACTTTGGGTATATGAGAATGAAACACATGTTGGAAGTTTTTGGGTCAAAAGTTTCAGGTGTTCCCTCAAATGTTTACAAACTTGAAGACATCTGAAATGTCCGGGTAATTCTATGATACAACCCTCTAAAATACAGAAAATATACTGTACTTACAAGAGTAATGGGGATTTTTACAGCCATGAATCCACTTGATTAATAATGGCCTGGCTGATCAATGCTTCAAAATTTGCGAGCAAAGAAAAGGTTGCGTGATGCTGAAGCCTGAAATTTTAATTTTTTTTTTAATACACTGTATATGGGTGTGAAGCATGGGTTGTGAATGCAGCAGCGAGGAGGCAGTCCGGAGGCAGTGGAGATGCCCTGTCTAAGGGCAATGTGTGGTGTAAATATTATGCAGAAAATTTGGAGTGTGGAAATTAGGAGAAGGTGTGGAGTTAATAAAAGTATTAGTCAGAGGGCAGAAGAGGGGTTGTTGAGGTGGTTTGGTCATTCAGAGAGAATGGATCAAAGTAGAATGAATGGAGAGCGTAATAAATCTGTAGGGTAAGGAAGGCGGGTAGGGGTCGTTCCTCGGAAAGGTTGGAAGAAAGGGGTAAGGGAGGTTTTTGTGGGCGAGGGGCTTGGACTTCCCGCAGGCATGCATGAGCGTGCTTGATAGGAGTGAATGGGGGAAAGGGCAAATGGTATTTGGGACCTGACGATCTGTTGGAGTGTTGAGCAGGGTAATATTTAGTGAAGGGATTCAGGGAAACCGGTAATTTTTATATAGCTGGACTTGAGTACTGGAAATGGGAAGTACAATGCCTGCACTCAAAAGGAGGGGTTTCGGGATATTAGCAGTTTGGAAGGATATGTTGTGTATCTTTATACGTATATGCTTCTAAACTGTTGTGTTCTGAGCACCTCTGCAAAAACAGTGACTATGTGTGAGTGAGGTGAAAGTGTTGAATGATGAAAGTATTTTCTTTTTGGGTCACCCTGCCTCGGTGGGAGATGGCCGACTTGTTAAAAAAAAAAAAAAAATCTAGTATACCAGTAAGAATTAATGTTCCATTTGCAATTATAGAAAAAACACTAAATATTATAAATGATTAATTTATTATATGCTATGATAATCTCAAAGTATTTAAAAAAAATACTGTATTAATGCATAAACCAGCCAATACATCCAAGTTAACAGTCTCTAAACGTACTCTTTTTTTTTTTTAACACACCAGCCATCTTCCACCAAGACAGGGTTTTCTTGGATGCCTTCATAAATGTTAACTTGCTCATACTCAAATAGCACCACATCATACCATAAAAACAATTTGTCTCCACTCATTCTCACTTATCATGTTTGCACAAGCTTATTTGATGCACAAGCCCTTAGCAATCAAAACATTCTTTACTTCCTCCTTCCAACAGTTCCAGGGACAACCCATACACTTCCTTATACCCAAGATTTATACACCCTCTTGGTCGTCTCATTCTGCTCCATCCTCTCTAAATGCCCAGCCCACCTCAACAACCTTTCTTTAGACCTCTGACTTATACCTTTGGTAACCCCACACCATCTTATAATCTCCATGTTCCAAAGCCTCTGCATATTTATTCACACCACAGCTTGCTCTAAAACACATCTCCACTGCCTCCAGTCTTTTTTTCACTGCACCATTTAAAGAATATGCCTCACACCCATATAAAAATGTTGATACTACTACTCTGGTACATTAACTCTATCACAATAATCTTAATTAACACAGACTATTGCACAAGATGGGTTTTGAAAAGATGAGATACCTTCCTATGAATTCAATAAAATATCATAACTAACCTCAAGCTTAGTCCAATCTCCAGGAATGAAATCATTAGGTGAGCATCCACACCAGTCAACTATATGTTTATACTGGCACTTGCAGCCAAGTTTCCTTTTCCAGTTAGTTACATGAAGGTTGTTATCTGTGAAGGTCTGGCAGAATCGAGAGTTGCGGAGCACAGTATGAAAGAACGACTGGAAAAATAAGAGCGTGTGTGTGTGTGTTATCTCCAAAACATGGACAACATGCTAGTTTTCACTGACTCGGCATTAATCATTTTATCATCTTACATCATACAGGTTATTCTCCTCTTATGTTTAAAATCAGGTCAAGAAATACATGAAGAAACAAAAAGTCTAGTGATTAACCAGATCATTCCTAGAAAATTAACTAAAAAATTTATTAAGAGTAAAATGGCAAACATTATACAGAGCTCTTATAAAGCTCCTTTATAGAGTGTTAAATTTTTTGCAAATGCAATTTAAAAAGTGCATTCAAAACTACATAGCATGTACTATGAAGGTCTTTTCACATGCCATTCAATTTTGGATCCACTTTTTCATTTTCATTTAGAAAAACTGCACAATGTGCAAGAGCTTTATAAGAGACCTGATTGTACTGCTAATCCAAAACTGTGATAGAAAAGACCCTTTAAACTACTATTGGCATCTCACTGACAAGTGTTGCCACCCAAACACGAAAGTCATATGATCAAAGTTGATAGAACATCTGGAGAGCAAAATTTTGCTGCCCAACAGTTTGGCTTCAATTAAACAAAATCAGGCATGAAATGGACTGGTTGACTGCATCTACTTATGCTAGGAATAAAAGGAAAACTATTACAGCAAATCAGTGATTTCTTGCTTAAAATGCACATGTGAGCAGTGATAAGGGGAGAAAATGTCTGTGACAAAACTGTCCTACAAAACCACTCGAGACAGCCTACACAGCAGACATGGATGCACAGGTCTACATCATCCCCTGTACGAATGTGATTGACTTTACATAGTTGAAAAATGCTAGACTTCCCATATGCCTGCACAAATACAAATATGCCTGCAGAATGAAAAATGCCAACAAGAAAATGACAAAATTAAATGCAAGTGTTTACAGTCATCTGCAATCAAACTAAAGAACACCATATAACAAAATTGAGGAATATTTGCTCTGGCAACTCCTATAACATCTTGAAATAAAAGAAATTTACTGTGGAACAGCAGGCCTTTTGCAGTGTAATTACTCAGCAAATTTAGACATTAACAGGCCCATGCTAGGCAGATCTTACTCAAACCAACTCTTCTCAACTCAAATATTTGTCAAATCTATTTTTTAAAGCTACATCTGACCACTTGCCCCACAGGCTCCTCATTGCTCTATATACTTGATAAAGCATTTCACTCACAAGTAAGCTTTATCAAGTATATAGAGCAATGAGGAGCCTGTGGGGCAAGTGGTCAGATGTAGCTTTAAAAAATAGGTTTGACAAATATTTGAGTTGAGAAGAGTTAGTTTGAGTAAGATCTGCCTAGCATGGGCCTGTTAATGTCTAAATTTGCTGAGTAGTTACACTGCAAAAGACCTACTGTTCCACAGTAAATTTCTTCTATTTCAAGATGTTATAGGAGTTGCCAGAGCAAATATTTACCATTACCGGAAAAGTAACAAGTTATAATGATAAAGCAAACAGAACAGTAATTTTGCACTAGTTACTGCACAAAAGTTGAATGTAAGGCAAAACAATGAGGATCACTTACCAAACAGTGTGTTTTTTTT